AAGTAAAGCCGGTCTATTGTCCAGCGCAGAGCACGTTAGTTGTGCACCTCGCTTACACACTGCTTAATACACACAAGATGTAGAGCAATACGCAAATATATTTACATAAGAAAAATAATTTAAATATTAAGGATATATATAGGATATAATAAGGATATTTATAGGATATAAAAATAAAGGATTAAAATATTACAAACCATATTTTTTTCTAGCCTACATAAATATAAAAATTACTGAAAAAAATCAAAAATCATCTCTGAAGGCTTTTTCAATTCATTCATAACAATTTGCTTTTGTATAATGTTATTATTATTAGCAGTATTATTTATTATATCCATATTTATATTTGTTTCATTAAAAACAAGCTCAGATTTGTCCACCTGTCAGGTTTTAGACCATATGGGGCACAGCATGTGTTTTAGGATATAACTTTGAGCACACTTCGTTAAAATTAGAACTGAATTTAGAAACAGTTTTGAAACAAATCTTTGCGCTTAACAAACGAAATTAATTATTTACAGGCAAATTGATGTCTGTGCAAAAGTTTCCCTATCCACGAGAGCGAAAAGTTAATCATTTATTTGTCATTCTCGCGCTGCAGATGCTGTTTAACTGTTTTTTTGCTAGTGTAATGCTCAGTTATTCCACTTCCACTTACTTTACGTCATGTAAGTAGCAAATGCGTTTATTAATGGGAGATGAGACTCTGATTGGTTTATTCTCAAAACACACCTATAACTCATTAGGAGAATAAGCTCAACCCTTTTAGACCATGCGCCACAGCGCATAGCAGATTTTTTCATTCTTATATTAGCAAAAGTGGATTCTGACACGTACTGAAAGTGAATGCACCCAGCGCTTTGCACATGAACCATCAAAATAGAGCCCACAGTCAATTCGGGGAAATATAAAATGCACATAAATTATTTATATGCAAAATCGAAAAAAAAAAAAAAAACGCAATTCACAGGCGTGTATTGAACTGTGGAGGTCGTACCGTATGGTGCAATATTATATTGAGAACCGTGGCATCCCTAGTATATATATATATATATATAAATATAAATATATATATATTATATATATATAGTTGAAGTCAGAATTATTAGCCCCCTTTTGATTTTGTTATTATTATTATTATTATTTTTGTTATATTTCCCAAATGATGTTTAACAGAGCAAGGAAATTTTCACAGTATGTCTGATAATATTTTTCTTCTGGAGAAAGTCTAATTTGTTTTATTTCTGCGAGATTAAAAGCAGTTATTAATTTTTAAAAAAACATTTTTGGGACAAAATTATTAGCCCCTTTAAGCTAATTTTTTTTTCAATAGTCTACAGAACAAACCATTATTATACAATGACTTGCCTAATTACCCTAACCTGCCTAGTTCACCTAATTAACCCAGTTAAGCCTTTAAATGTCACTTTAAGCTGTATAGAAGTGTCTTGAAGAATATCTAGTCAAATATTATTCACTGTCATCATGACAAAGAGAAAATAAATCCGTTTTTAGAAATAAGTTTTTAAAACTATTATGCTTAGAAATGTGCTAAAACAATCTTCCCTCCATTAAACAGAAATTGGTGAAAAAAATAAACAGGGGCGCTAATAATACAGGGGGACTAATAATTCTGACTTCAACTATATATATATACAGGTATATATAGTTGTACACACACACACACACACACACTTACACAGACACACACAATGCCAAATCAGAAAAAGTTGGGACAGTATGGAAAACGCAAAGAATAAAAAGTAATTTCAAAATTTACTTTGACTTTTATTCCATGACAAAACATACAACAAACAATATTTAATGTGAATACAATAATCCTTCTAAAACAACAATGAAAACTTAGTAAGTTTGACTAATAAAAGTGATTTAATTGATTGAAATATATTTAGATTTGGTTCAACGAGTCATGCATGTGTTTTTACACAAACTACTGACGAAAAGCTGATCCCGATAGTAAAACTGCAGGATGATTCACACACAATTCTGCTCATTTCAAAGTGCACTTTTCCAAGGAATTCCCATTTTTAAGAGGATAAAAAAGTGCATTAAAATGAGTTCCAATACTGCTAAACCACACCAGTTATTTATCCTTCAGTGCTTTTTCCATGTATCTGCTTTGATTAGTATTGCGCGGGCGATTTATCTCTTGGCTAATGCATCTAAGTGCTGGTTTGACTCAGCGTTCACGTACGGTTATAATTGTGGAGTGGCATAACAAAATAAAACTGTAATTAGCGAAATGCTCAAATTACAGTCATTACCATTTTTTTTTTTTTACAAAAGACACACACTAGTCTTTAATAGGCAGGTTAGCACAGCGGTCTGGATGGCGGTGCGGGACACTCACATAAACAACCGAGACAGAGAGAAACAGAGTCCATAAATCAACAGAAATACAGGCCTAAAATAACAGCGCTGGACAATAAACATGCTTAAAAACGTGTCCGAAAATAAGAGGTTTGCGTTATGAAACGTGACAGGTTTGATATTGAGACTGCCGAAGACACACACACACACACACACACACACACACACACACTGCTTTAATTGACTCAAGCTTGTTGTAATGAATTCTAGCAACATCTTAAACAATCGTATCACACATGCGTGTAATTGTATGTGCGCGCGTACACCGATGCGCCCCTATTATCCGCGTAACCATGCCAACCGCGCAGCTGTGCACGAGGCTCATTTGCACAGAAATGAAAGAGAGCAACAAACAGATGAATGCTGGGAAGAAGTCGAGCGCGTGTCGGCAAATCTCCACACAACTTGTTTTTATGGTGACCTTATCATCAGTGTGATTGTGGAGAGGAGTGTGTGTCGGACACTCCAGAGCGCAGCGGCTCTTCCTACACAAACACAGAGTGAAATACAGGACGTTTAGCACTTAAAAATAACCTCAGACGGAGAAACACACACACGTGGAGACAGAGGAGATCTGCAAATGAGGCGAAACGGTGCGCTTAAAAGACAAACACTTGAGCTGAATGACTTGATTATTTTGACAGTAGAATAGTTTAAAAAAAAGTTGAAATAATCAACATTTCTTTGCATATATCGCTCTTTTTATTTATATATTCATTAACTATTATTTATTCTTACTATAGTTATGATTATTATTATTATTATATTTATTTCATGTTTAGCTTATAATAAATAATTAAATAAATAAATAAATACTAATATTATTTTGATTATTACAGTTATCAATTATATATATGAAGAGTTCAGATGCGAAAGCCGCTAAACGCCATTTCCGTCATAAAGTAGCTAACGATATTGAGTGAATGCTTTAGGCACTTAGTAGTAACTTAGCTCAACTCCTTGTTCAAGCTCTTGTTCTCTCCAGACTGGATTACTGCAACTCTCTACTGCCGGGCTTCCAGCTAACTCTATCAAGCCTCTTCAGCTGCTCCAGAACGCAGCAGCACGAGTGGTCTTTAATGAACCTAAAAGAGCACATGTCACTCGGCTGCTCATCCGTTTGCACTGGCTGCCAGTTGCTGCTCGCATCAAATTCAAAGCTCTGATGTTTGCCTACAAAGCGACTTCTGGCTTTGCTCCTTCTTATCTGCTCTCACTTATGCAGATGTATGTGTCCTCCAGAAACTTAAGTTCTGTGAATGAACGTCGCCTCGTGGTTCCATCCCAAAGAGGGAAGAAATCACTTTCGCGAACGCTCGCATTTAATCTGCCCAGCTGGTGGAATGAACTCCCTAACTGCATCAGAACAGCAGAGTCACTCGCTGTCTTCAAGAAAGGACTAAAAACTCAACTATTTAGTCTCCACTTCCCTTCCTAATCTGCAATTGCCTAATCTGCAATTAACCCGGTACCAGTAAGGTGTACCTAATAAAGTGGCCGGTGAGTGTATATCACTTTAAAATACTCCGGCATGCTAATATGTTAGGGTTCAAATTTGCTTAGTTGAAAATCTCCAAAAATATGTATATATTTTATAATTTATAACATTTACCCACCACAAAAAGACAAGTCAGACTGCAAAAAACACGTTTCTTACTTAGATCTTGTCTTGTTTCTAGCGCAAATATCTAAAAATCTTAAATCAAGAAGACTTTTGTAGACAAGCAAAACATATGGTCTTGTTTTAAGAAATAATATGCCAAATTAAAGTTAGTCTTTCCTTAAAACAAGCAAAAGTATCTGCCAATGGGGTAAGCTAAATAATCTTATGTCACAAGGAAAAACTTAATTATTTAGCTTACCCCATTGGCAGACTATTATGCTAGTTTAAAAAAAAAAAACTAGCTTCAATTTGGCATATTATTTCTTAAAACAAGACCATATGTTTTGCTTGTCTAGAAAAAATAAAAGATCTAGGTAAGAAAAGTGTTTTATAAGGTGAAATCAGGGTTTAACTCCTCTTAAGTTGAAACTAAATGAAGACTTTGGAGTGGCCTAGTCAAACTCCTGACCTGAATCCAATTGAGATGCTGTTTCATGACATTAAAAAGGAGGTTGATGGTTGAAAACCCAGCAATGTGGCTGAAATACAACAACTTTGTAAGGATGAGCGGGTTAAAATACCTAAACAGAGATGTAACTGCGAGTTATTAAAAACGTTTGACTGCATTTGTTCCTGCTAAGAGTGGCCAAACCAGTTCTTAGATTTAGGAGGCAAACACTTTTTCACACATTTTCACCATGTAGTCTTCTGTTTTCTTTTCTTTTAATAATAACAACTGCATGTTGTGTTTACCTGCGTTATATTTGACTAATATTTCAATTTGTCTGATGATCTGAAGCATTAAAGTGCAACAGGCAAATTAAACAAATGAGATCAGCAAGGGGGGCAAACACTTTTTCACACCACTGTATATATATATTCACATCTAATATATATGCAAATAAACACACTAAAGTAAGTCTTCTGTGAAATCCAGCAGTTCAGTGGGAGATCTGCGTATTAGCTGGCCACGCTGGGGGAAGTGTGCATTTGTGGAGGGTCTTACCGTAGAGTCGGCGTAGCCCTCCTGAATGAGGATGGTTCTGGCGCAGTTGTTGATGTGTTTGAAGCGGTCGGGGCCGAGCAGAATCCCACCGTACCAGCGAGAGACCACCACCAGCACATTACGCACATCCAGGATCTGTCAGACACAATCACACACACAAACTGAATATTAATGCTCCTGAAGCCGACGTGACTCACTGCCGCAGGATTATGATGTTCTTAACATAGCTCGAATGCAAAAACGTCCAACATCTGCATTGCTTTTAATATCACGATAGCCATCCTGTGACATTTAAAGTGTTTTTTTATATTAATATACTAAGTGAAGCCCCCTTCAAAGTTTCTTCTTTTTTTTATGTTTTCCAAACGATTTTTAACAGAGCAAGGAAATTTTCACAGTATGTCTGATAATATTTTTTCTTCTGGAGAAAGTCCTATTTGTTTTATTTTGGCTAGAATGAAAGCAGGTTTTAATTTTTTAAACACCATTTTAGGGATAAAATTATTAGCCCCTTTAGGCTGTGAGAAGTTTAATTTTAAACTAGATTCTTAAAGTTTGAGGACAAACTTTGAGGCAGGCTTGTGAAGGCCTGATGGTAATAGTTTATTTAGTTTAAACCGTTTTAAAAAGTATGAAAAGATAGATAGATAGATAGATAGATAGATAGATAGATAGATAGATAGATAGATAGATAGATTAGCATATTATTAGCATGATTCTAGCATAAATTAGCATGTTAGTAGCATGACTCTAGTATTAATTAGCATGATTCTAGCATAAATTAGCATGTTACTAGCATGATTCTAGTGTGAATTAGCATGTTACTAGCATGATTCTAGCATGAAATAGCATGATTCTAGCATAAATTAGCATGTTACTACCATTATTCTAGTATAAATTAGCATGTTACTAGCATGATTCTAGTGTGAATTAGCATATTACTAGCATGATTCTAGCATGAATTAGCATGATTCTAGCATAAATTAGCATGTTACTAGCATGATTCCAGTATAAATTAGCATGTTACTAGCATGATTCTAGTATAAATTAGCATGTTACTAGCATGATTCTAGCATGAATTAGCATGATTCCAGTATAAATTAGCATGTTACTAGCATGATTCTAGTATAAATTAGCATGTTACTAGCATGATTCTAGCATGAATTAGCATGATTCTAGCATAAATTAGCATGTTACAAGCATGATTCTGGTATGAATTAGCATGTTACTAGCATGATTCTAGCATGAATTAGCATGATTCTAGCATAAATTAGCATATTACTAGCATGATTCTAGTATGAATTAGCATGTTACTAGCATTATTCTAGCACAAATTAGCATGTTCTATCAGTCATTTAGGGCTGGGCTATCAGTAATTTAGGGAGGGGCTATCAGTCAATTAGGGAGGGGCTATCAGTCATTTAGGGTGGAGCTATTAGACATTTAGGGTGGGGCCATCAGTGCATTAAGGCGACGCTATAAGTGCTTTAGGGTGGAGCTATCAGTAATTTAGGGCGGGGCTATCAGTCATTTAGGGATGGCATATCAGTCATTTAGAGTGGAGCTTTCAGTCCTTTTGGGCGGGACTATCTGTCATTTAGGGCGTGGCTATTAAGGCTATCTGGGCATGTCTCATTTCTGCCCTGCTTTTGTCCATTCTTCAATCTTCCTTCATTCTGTTAGCAATGTTCATCTTCCAACAATCCAAATGGTCTCAAAGAATCAAACCACGCCTTATTTTGCAGAACAGCATGCAGAAGAAGATCGTTCTGGAAATGACGCTCGCTATGTGACCTGCATTTTAGTGAAGTATTATATATTTGGAGCTTTGGTCTTCCTGCATTTATTTGAGCGTTTTCTATGCATCTAATACCCAAATGAGATCCAATCCTGGATTTATGTGTAACAGCATGCGTCCCAAACACAGGTACACACACATTAGCAAATAAACACACCCTGGCGGAGGGTTGATTAGGTGAAAACTGCGGCAATGCTTTCCAAGAAATCACTGCCAGAGTAAAAACACAGATTCTCAAGTGTTTCCTTCCCCCATCGGGCTGTGTTCACGAGAACAGTTTCTTCAATAGACACGCAGAATAGCTCAAATCTGCTGAATGACGGCTCTGGAGGCTCTTTAGCGTATTTAGCGTCCTGCTCGTTGTGTTTTCCTGTGGCACGGCAGAGAAATCCACACACACACACACACACACACACACACACACACACACACACACACCTCTATTAAAAGCCGCTTCCCTTTTCAACACGCCGTCACTTTCACTGAGCAGGAAACAGTGGATGATCTCCAAAAACACTTCATGATCTCCTGTGAGCGGCTGCTGGCTCTCACAAGCAGATTTTTACTCACGCGCCAAAAAAAAGAGGTCAACAACCCAAAGTGTCTCTTTTATAGTTGTGTGTTTTAATTGAGTTTAATA